TGTGCGTTTGGGTTATTATTATTTTTGTAACAATCCCAAATCAAATCTGTCTCCAGGTTGGAGAGGCAGGAGCCCTGGGGTAAAGAAAGCAAAGCAAAAAAAAAAAAAAAAAAAAAAAAAAAAAAAAAAAAAAAAAAAAAAAGCGAAAAAAAAAAAAGAGAAGAACCTGTAATGTTAGGAGGAGAATAAAGGTGGAGGGGTAAGGAGCAGGGCTGGTTTGGAAGTCGGGGCTCTCCTGGCCCTGCTATTTATCCCCCACCACAGAGCAGCTTCCTAGACTTCTCCTGGAACCCAGGAACAGGAGGGCTGCAAGCAGAGGCTAGTGGTGGCTTTCTTCTGCAAGCCACACACTGCAAGCTGTGGGCAGGGAGACAGGTGTCATCCAGGCACCTGCTTCCATCGGAATGGGAGAGTCCCAGAAGAGATGTGACCCGCACACAGCGTGCAGCCAATGGGGGGACCCAGGGCCTCAACATGGATGTGGGTCCCTGCGAAGAAGCTTAGATTTGGAGAGAGAGGATGGTGGACGTGGCTCTTTCCACCCATTGCCTCCTACAATGAATGGAGCCAGACCATTTTCACAGAAACTGCCCCAGGGGACGGCAGAGCTTGGCTGCCCCTCCTGGCTCCAGCAGCTGTGGGAGAGGCGCTGCTCTGGGGCCCAACTGTGTCTGCTTCCCCTGCCACCGAGGGGCCCCTCACTCCTACCCAAGACCCCTGGACTGTTGCACGGCAACCACTCCTTTCATGGCATTGCTCAGCAACTCTTCCTCCAACCTGTGCCGCCTGCCCGTTCCCCCTCCGTCCCCCATGCCAGCCCTCTGTCCTTCCTCCCTCAGCAGCCAGGCAGACATAACAACAAAAATACTAAAAGGAGCTTCACCGCACTGAGCTGTTTCCTGCCCAAACAAAGGGGATAATGTGAACTCCGTGTGTGCATGTGTGTGTGTGCAGTCGTGCATGTGCGTGTATGTGCAAGTGTTATGAGTGTGTGTCTGTCTCTGTCTGTCTGAGTGAGATGCAGACAGTGATTGAGGAGGCGGCCCAAGGCCCAAGGATCCTGAGCAGGTGGACGGGTGATTGGACAGGAGACCGAGTGGAGGATCCTAGTCAGGGTTCATACCTCACCTTCGATGTCGCTCCATGCCACCCTCAAGGCCCGTCTCAGAGAGAGGAGTCCCAGGTGTGCATTTCATCGCTCCCTGAAACACGAAGCACTCAGCCCTCCCTCGACTCCCCATCTCCACACCATGGAGCCAGTGCCACAGCCTTTGCTATGCACCCCTCAGGCCTCTCCCTGGCACTGACCCTGGATTTCCCATCATCTACACACAGAGGGCTGGGTTCCCATCCCTGCTTTTGGTTTTCTGTCTTCCTTCTTGTGACCGAGCTGGTTGCCGTGGAGATGAGGTTGCTCAGCCTCCCCATCCTGCTGGCCTGCCCACCTCAGATCCTGGATGCTCTTAGCATCACACTCCCCTGCTCCAGCAGCATGTCCTCCCTGCTCTGACAATGGGCATGCAACACAGGGCAGCTGCAGTCCAGCGGCTCTGCCCACTCCTTCTGTTCAGGTAAAATATCCTCGTGAATCTTCTAGCCGCCCCCCCACCCGGGTAGGGCCCTGGGCACTGCAGGCAGCCCCTCATCTAAGCCAGGGCCTCCTCCTCTTGCAGCAGCAAGGGAGCGTTGGGTTCCTTGTCTCCCAGCACTCGCTTTTGGGAAAAAGACTTTTCCTCTTTGAGCTGAACCACTCTGTCCATATTACACAGAAGCCATATTTGTACTGGGGGTGGGGGGGCGAGGGCCGTTGTGCTGTGCGTCTGTCCTTGGGCGGGGGTGGGGGAAGGGAGCAGGGATTGTGTATCTTTATAATCTTTCTAACTCTCCTGTGCTAATCTCAGAGGGCCACCCTCAATATATCTGGATTATTCGTGTCGTTCGGCTGCCTCCTTTCTGCTGCTCTTACTGCTGCCAGGCTGCACGTACATAAGGGCCATTCTGGTATCCCTGGCACCAGGCACCTTGAGGGTCATGGCATCCTTGGCCTGCTTTTCTCCCATAAGGGAGCTAAATGTCTCCACCCCGTTTCGCTGGGACCTTGCTTTCCAGAGAGGTTTTTGGGTGGGGCATCTGACTGTCCCCTCTGCTCAATGCTGAAGGATGCTGGGATGGAGGAGGAGAAACCAACGGCACTGTCCAGGAAAGAGAGCCTCACCAGACCTTCGCCATACTCACTTTTCAGTCCACTCCATGTTGAAGCTGAAACTGGACCCGGTGTCCTGGGAGAGAAGAGAGAATTTCTACGAGGGGCCTATCCTTTCACACCTGGATCTGCGGTGCTGCACCCCAGGCACTCCTGTGTGAATGAAACAATGTCCTGCACAGAATTGGGGTCAAAATATCTCATGTTTTCTTCAAGGAATGAAAGTGTCTCCTCCCCCACTATATCTCATTATTGCCACTTACACTAAGCTCACCCCTCTGGAAGCCCAGGCTATGTCTCTGCAGCCAAGAAAATAAAATGCAGAGGTCGGTGAGGCCATAGCAGAGACCCTGGGAGAGCAGCAGCAGGGGTGTGGCCACCGAAGAGCAGAATATTGGTTTAGGAGGCCTGTGGGACTGGTGCCCCTTGTGCCTGCTGTCCAGGGAAACAGCAGCTCCACTCCCCAAGAGAAACTTCCCATTATGCTAAGACGCCAGGCCGATGAAACAGCTGCAGAGCCTTTACGTCCCACAACAGAAATATGAATAGAGATTACCTCATAGGCAACAGTCCCAGTTTAAAATACGCTATCCCAGTGTCCCCCAGAGCCTACTTTAATGTGTCAGACCATGTGTTCTGCTTGGTATGGGAGATGCATTCATGGCGCCCATAGGTGGTGAGGCAAATGCCCAATCGCTCCCTGAAGTGACATCATCGCATTCAGCAGTCCTCCCTCCCCCTCTCATCCAAACACCCATAATTCCAGATAGCAGCATGCACACCGGGCACCGCCTAGCACCCAACTTTCGGGTGTGTGCCACTGATACCCAACACGGGCACACAGATAAACACTTACGTTCTGCCCGCCCTGATACAAGCAGCGCTCCCACCAAGGAGCATGCACGCGTGCACAGATCCAACCGCAGTGGCACCATGGACGCACCTTCCTTCCCAAAGCGCACAGCCCTCTTGACCTTGCTTGGCTCCCGTTCTAAGGGATGGGGAAAGTGGCCGTCATCAGCTGCCTTCTCACCTCAATTTCCCAGCACCCTTCTTATCTCTGCCTCACCAGTCACCCCTGGCCCCTCTTACTTCCTTGAACTTGCAGAAGCCTCTCTTGCTGGAAAGTCTCCTGGTGTCTTCCTCTCCACCTTCGGGAAAATGCCTGCCATCTGGTCCTTGCTGTGTTCCTTTCCCGAGACCCTCCTGACCCCGTCAAGTCCAATCTCAAAACAGGAAGCCCCGGGTTGGTGCCCAGGCTGACCTGAGGCTCGGTAGCCAGTGGGTGTGGGGTAGGGCTTCCTGACTGCGGCCACATGGCCCTGCCCAGAACCCAAGGGCCTTCATTAGTCCTTGGCACTTATCGAGAAGCCACAGCCACTGACAGAGCTGCCAGCCCTTCTCTCCGCCTGCCCTGCACCCCAGTGCCATGGGGAACTGCCTGAAACAGGTGAGAGCCGCAGCCCCTCACTTCTTTGCCCCATGGTTCCCTATTTGCTCCTCAGTCCAGGTCTTTATATATCTTTCCTTTTCTCCTCACCTCTTAGCTCTTTCCTTCCTTGTTCCAGCATTTAAAATCTCTTTCCCTTCTGTCCTCCTTGCCCAAGTTTCCTGCCCTATTCTTTCTCCTCTCCCTCTCCTTTCAGCCAGTTCCAGGCAGAAAGCTCCTCCTTACCTGCCCTCTGTTCCCAGCTCTTCTCTGGCTTGCCTGGCACTCTGTGCTACCCCAATCCTCAGGCTCCCTGCTCTGTCCTTTTGCACCATCCCACTGTGTCCCCACAATGTCTTGCCTTCCCAGCTCTCCCGCTCACCTCTCTCCTGCCCTCCCTGGGGTCTGGGAGGTCTCTGATTTCCCCCTTTGGCTGCCTCCAGGTAAAGCCCTCCTTCTCACTCAACATGAATGAAAGTCAGTTGGATTTGGGAGACTATTCGTGGAATTATTCCAACGGTGAGAACACCACCTATGGACACTTCGAAGACTACAACTGGCTGGATTCTGCTGCGCCCTGCCACTCCTGTAACCTGCTGGATGAATCCTCGTTCCCCTTCTTTATCCTCTCCAGTGTTCTGGGTATTCTGGCCAGTGGAGCTGTCCTCTTTGGGCTGCTGAGACCTCTCTTCCACTGGCAGCTCTACCCTGCCTGGTCATTCTTGGCACAGATGGCCGTAGGCACTGGCCTCTTCAGCATCGTGTTGCCCATCCTGGCACCAGGGCTCAATAGTTCCCAGAGCACTATCTTGTGCCGCTTGGGCTACTGGATCTGGTACAGCTCAGCCTTTGCTCAAGCTCTGCTGATAGGGTGTCATGCTTGCCTGAGACCCAAACTGGGCACAGGCCAGATCCCAGGCCTCACCCTGGGGCTCATTATGGGACTTTGGGGAGTGGCTGCCCTATTAGGATTACCAGTCACTCTTGCCAGTGATATAACTCCTGGCTTCTGCACCTTGTCCTACAGCAGAGGTCTGGGTACTCTGCAGTCCATGCACGCTGTGGTTTGTTTTGCTATCTTCAGCTTGTTGCCCCTGGGTTTGTTGGGAGCCAAGGGACTGAGGAGGGCATTGGGCAGGAGTCCAGGTCCCTGGATTGACATCTTGTGGATGTGGTTCATTTTCTGGTGGCCTCATGGAGTGGTTCTGGGGTTTGACTCCCTAGTAAGGGCCAAAGTCTTGCTGTTGCCAAACTGTCTGGCCCAGCAGATTCTGGATCTGTCATTGCACCTGGCCGAAGTCCTGGCCATATTGCACTGTGTAGCTGCCCCTTTGCTCCTGGCCCTGTTCTTCCACCAAGCCACTCAGTCTTCCTTTCCTTCCCTGCCCCTCTCTACAAGACAGTCTTCTCATCTGGACAACACTGGAGGCAAAATCTAGCTCTTCTCCCACCTGTCAACCTGAATTAAAGTCTGTGCTGCTTTAATAAAGTGGGTAATCTCTTATTTTGTTTAGAGGTGAGGAGGAGAGACAGGAGAGTGGAGTGAGAAAGATGTTTCATGCTAGTGTCTTCTTGTAGGCCTCTGTCTCTCTGGCTGACCTCAGGGAGAAAGTGCCTTATAAACATTCTCAGAGCACACAGATGTTCTGTGAGGTGTGAGGTGCCTTCTCCAGCATGGAGATAAAGAGGAGCCTCTTGCACACTACCAAAACTAGAAGACAACGCTTCTTAACAGGATACTAAAGAAGAGAAGCAGTGACAGAAAACAAACAGAATAAGAGTAGAAACTGGAGAGAGACACACAGAAGAATGACAATAAAACCCGAAGCAGTAGGTTTCTCTCTGTGTGCAAAGTGTCCAGCTTCCCTCCCCATCTTGTCCTCTCTCTGGCTTTCTTTAGAGCTCAGAGTGTTGTGAGGGAGGTGGGCAAATCATCCTTGGAGGCATTTCTTAGTTCAGGACACAGACCAAGATAACCCAGACAGCAGTTTCCTATGAGTCAGCTTTTGCAGGTTCACTCTTGGGCAAGACCCTGATTCCCATGTGCACACGAATACACATTCACATGTGCATCTGTCCTTTCAGGGTTAAAACCCACATCCATGTTAAATGCATGCTTGTAAGTGAGTGTCAGTGTCTGATGCCATGCATAAGTGTGTGCACCCTGACCTTCCTCAACGCCCTCTCCTTATTAAATTCTGCACCCTCCCCTGTTCTCCCGGCAGGGAAGCAAGGTTGATGACTCACACCTTACCCAAATGAGTTCTTTCACTCTGGTTTGGAGGTCCAGTTTTCTCTGTGTAGGCTATGTAGAGGGAAGCAAGGCCAAGAAGTCATGAAGGGCGGAGAAACTTAGAGGGAGAGGACCTAATCTGATTCATCTTCTGCCTGGAATGCCTCAAATTTCCCTTTCAGACCCCAGCTCCTGAAATAAACCTTTCTTCCCCACATAAATGTTTCCTTCTACTTCCCACACTGTATCCTGATCTACTAGCCACTTTCTTTCCCAACGGATTTTTCTGGCTGCTTACTCATGTTTGTGGAGGCTTTTCTTCAGCCCTTCCCCTGATGAATTTGCGTGATGATTGGCAGTAAGTCTCTCTGATGTGGGGCACAACCTCTAGAGCCAACAAAAAAACCCACCCTCTACCCAGAAAAGATCACAACCAAAGTTCCTCTCTCCAACCCAACTAGAGCCTGGGGAAGCTTGAGCCAGTGCTTAGTGCATTCACCTGATTCTAGTTATTGTCATGGTTCAAAGATATGTCTTCCCTAGCACTTTTGCCTCAAGGGCTCTGCGTGACTCAGAGGGCTAGTGGGTAAGCAGGAGCATGCTGCAGGGGCGCAGAGATGACTTACAATATCTTAGGCAGAAGGATGCAAAAGGCGTGCGGACTTCACCGGAGTGGGTGCCTTGCTTGAGGAAGCCTCTAAATCTCCCACCTCCTGTCTCTTCGCAACCGCCAGGTTCAGCTCCTGATTGGTGCATCACAAAATGAAAGGCGGGATTTAGGGAAGGATTGAGACCAGGGAGACATTCTGAAACAGAAAGGAAGAAAAAGAAAATGAAGAGAAAGGAAGAAATTTACAAATCCAAATTACACGCAGGTCTTCAACCACAGTTGGCCAGTACATCCTAGTGTTTAAGTGTTTCATTTTTTTTTTTCAGTCTCCTTTCAAAACTACCCCTCCTGTCTCACAGTCCTACCAGACGTTGTTCTCCTCCCTTGCGAGGGACTGAATTTAGAGGCTGACCTAGTTGAGAAGGAGGAAGGGCCGTTGTTGACTCCCTGAATCTTCCAGTGTCAACCTAATGCAGGGAGGTTTCGCTTAAGACCACTGGGGTGGTCTTATCCATTTCCGCCTGTGCCTCCAGATAGAATCTCCTCATGGAGTCCACGGAGAGAGATCCCAAACTCCCAGGAAACAGTCTATCACATCCCTCACAAAGAAAAAGCAGCGGCAGGCGCCTACAGCTGATAAGAGGTCAGAACGGGCGGGAGACAAGTATCCTCTCAGTGATCTCCTCCTGCTCCCACCCTGCTGGCCCTGCCTGGGTCCCTCCAGGGGCTTCCCTTTCCCTGCCATTATCTGTGCTGCATCTGGCCAGTCCTTCCTTAAGTCTAATCCTGGCCTCAGTCGTTTCTCGAATGCTTTCCTCAGAGGCCTGCTACCCACGGCCTTTTGACTCCCTGCATCACCAACAACCTCTATGAAATTGGTCTGAATCTGGCGTCTTTTCTGTAACTCTTCAGGAATACAAATCCTGTTTCCTTAGCATCCTTAAGAATTTAATTTGAAGGTTGGCAGGGACTTTAGCTGTATATGAGTTATTGGCCCTCCTGGCTAAGAAAAAAAAAATTCCTCTCAGAAAGATGAGAGTCAGGGAAGTAAGCTCCTGGGAACTCACAGAGCCCTGGGGAGGGTTGATTTGCATTAAGGAAAGGGACTCATTTCTTGAGGGAAGTTTGAACATCACATTGAGACTCATATTTCATATAGCTCAGGCTGTGGCCTCTCTCCCAGTCTCCCATTCCTATATCATCTCTGTCCCATTGTCACTCTCTGGGGAATTCTGATTGAAGACTTCACTGGGATTTCAAACCCAATTCATGGCCAACTCAAATTGCCAAGGATTTGCATGAAAACCACCATTTGCTATCTAATTATTCTGACAACAGCAGCCCGCCGTCTGGGCACAAGGAGAATCGCAGTTTTAATTAACAATAATGTACCTTTCAGATGAACGTGACTGTTTAGGTTAATTAACAAGTCCGAGTCCTTCCAAATCATCACTAGACATCTCAGTGATTTGGGGAGGAGGGGTGTGGAGCACCTGGAGGGGCAAAAATTTGGGAGTTTTTAAAAGTCAGTTCGGCAAAAATATGTTAACTTTCTTCTTTCCTGCAACTACTTGATGAAAGCAAGAGGAAACCTCTAGGATACATCTGCTAGAACACTGGGTTAGAGGAATTTAGGGACTATGGTTTAGGATAATATCTCCGGCATCATTTCACATTATATTTAGGAAATCTTGTAGACACGTCTTTATAAATGAAAGTACTAAGTCATTATAATTCCCAAGTATTCATTTCCTGGTCATTTGCAAACTTGGTTTCTAGTGCAAGAGTCCTGACTTCTCTTTTGCTGGCTTTCTTCCAACCTTTTCTCTGTATGCTCCTAAACATTTAGAGGCATTTTAAGTTGCCTGCTCCTTAAGATTTCCCAGATAATGTCTCAAGACCCATCTATGCCCCTCTAAAGGGTAATTTTTATACTCTTTCCTGGTATAGTCTCTGTGTCCTGGAAGAATATTTTGTATGTAGCTCCAAACTGCATCTTCCATCTTTCTGATCGTATGGCTCAAGCTTTGTTTTGTCTTTCTAAATTGGGTAGTACTAATGCCTGGGAGTGGGGAATAAAGATAGGGAGACAGTTATAGGGGTTGTCTTCACTTGATCTTAGCCAAAAGGCCGAGAAGTGATAGGGTCTGCCTTCAGACAGACCAGATTTGGCATTTGGTTCCTTCCTACTGCACTCAGTCAGCCCCAAGCACATTGTACTATCCCACAGGATGACTAGGATCAGCCAACAGCTTGGCTCTTCCCCTTCCTCACCAAGCTTTGTGCCCAGCAGCAACTTTTTCATCCTTTCAAAGGGCAAGCCTCTTTTTCATGGGAAAAGCCTTTGCACTTGATATCTCTTCTGTCCAGAATTCTCTTTCCTGTGCTTTCTGTCTGATGAGCTAGCACCTTCTTATTTTTGGAGTCTTCATGCAAATATGGACTCCTGGAACTCTGCCCTTTCCTGCTGTGTTCTGGAACATAGCTCAGACACCCCTGTATGCATTTGTTATGAGGCTGCTTCCAAAACATGTATCCCATGCTAAACCTGCTTTGCTCATTCTCCTACAAGCTTCCCAGTTTATTGCCTGGCCACCCTTTCCTCCCAACACTAGAGAATAAGAGATCAAGTCACTTCCTGGCATATAGTCAGAGCTCAGTAAACATTTAATAAATATGTGAATCAATTAATTTCATACAAATGAAGCAAGATTCCCCAGTAATGAGGCATCATGATCCAATGGAGAAGAAGAACAAACAAGTCAAAAATCGCTGCAGAGAATGGTGAACAAATGACTTTCTTTCCCCTAGTCCCCTGGGGTATCACTCTTGTGTCATCAGTCCTTTGGGGCTGAAGAAACTGAAGGACTGTCAGGACAAGATTTCTGGATCCCTGGCCCTTCCTTGTTTGGTGTCAATTTAGGGCTGACAGAGCTGGGGGACTTCATCGTGGTTCTTGACCAAATGGAGACTCGATGTTTCCTTTTCCTTGGGATGCTGCCGGGCTTGGGACAGCAAGGAAAGGTGAGGAATGACTGTCACGTTTCATCCATTCTGGAGGAAGAGAAAGTCACAGGACACTCCCCAAAGTTTGAGGATAAAGTGTTCAAATTCTAAGTCCAACTGCACCTCAGGAGAGGCCCACATGCTCTTGAACCTGAAGGTCATTTCAGCCTCCATGTTGATTTTTTTATTTTATTTTTATTTTTTTGATTTAGTTTAGTGCTCCTGCCAGCCTTACCCCTTCCTTATCTCTAAGCACCACTTCTTTCTCTCACCTTCTGGCCTTTGTCTCCCCGCTGTGGCAATTTATCTTTATTCAATTCTGGGTAAATAGGTTAACCCTTTAAAGTACTGAAGGATGTATCACAATTAATTGTACTAATTTCCAGAGCTATGAGAAGTACTGGCAGGTGTAGAAATGAATTACAATGTAAGACAGTGGCATCTCCCTGGACCCATCTGCTCCCTTCTATTACCTTCCTCCCTCCCTCCCTCCCTCCCTCCTTCACTTCATTCCTTTCTTCTGTGGTTGTCAAGTTCCCCAGTTCCCTTCTGAACAACCCTGGATATACTTGGATGGAAGAGTAGATGGGAAACTCCCAAAGCCCTCAGTCTCCAAGACCTCTCAGGCCAGGTTTCTGTTTTACAGCCCCTGGTCAGCACCTATCCCACTGCCAAATCCAGTTACTTGTGTGACTGAGAGGGTCGCCCAGGAGGACTTGGAGAGAGAAAGTGTCATTTTCCTCACAGTTCTCTACACTAGTCATTGTTTTTGCTTGTTCTACCCACTGGACCTTAAACCCTCCAGCATTTGATTCCTTGCTTTATTCAAACGAAATATTTTTTATTGTGGGTATAGGTTTATAATACATAATGATTCCATTCACCTTGGAGGATTGATATTTGTACATACTTCATTATGATCATTTTTACTTCCCCTTCCTCAAACCCTCCCCTCTCCTTCCTTTCCTAGGTCCCCTTCCCATTTTCAAAGATTCTGTCTCCTTGTTTCCTACTACTTCTCTTTTATTTTACTCTTTAAATTAATTATATTTTGGGTTTCTCATGTGAGAGAATCCATGCAAACATCCATCCTGTTTCTCGTTTGTTCATTTAACATTTTGGTGTCAGGATCTATCCATTTTCCTGCAGATGACTCAAATTTGATCTTCTTTAAGGCTGAGTTCTACTGCTTCTTTTTACTACCTAGCTGCATCAACTCCCAGTCATTTTCCAGATAATGGAATAAAATAGCTAATGCTAAGCATCGTATGTACTGTTCTTGGATCTTTGTGTTATCTGATTCAGACGTTAACCAACTCTAGGAAGTCACAGAATCATTCTGTCACCATTCCCATGTTACTGAATACTGATGTGTGTGAAGAATACTGATGTGCAGCTGGGAATGATGTGCATACCTATAATCCCAGCCCTCCAGAGGCTGAGGCAGGAGAATGGAAGTAAATTTGAGGACATTCTCGGCTACATAGTGAGTTCAAGGCCAGTCTGAACTACATAGCGAGACTCTGTCTCAGAAAAAAAAAAAAATGATGTACTGAGGGCTAGGGTAACTTAACCGAGATCACAGAGCTAGGAAGTTATGGCTGGGGTTCAGACCTGGGACCTGATTCCAAAGATCTTACAGTTCCCCAGCACACAAACTGCTTCTAGAGAGGTTTACTCTGTTCATCCAGGGAGAGGCCAGTGGACATAGGGCTCCTTCCACTTTCAAGCAAGCATCAGGAAACTATCCTGGCTATCTGGTTTCTTGGTCTTGTGTCTGCTTTTTAAATGATTATTTTATTTATGTATACTTGGGCCATGCCTGCCTGTAGCTCAGTTTCACAGGTGGGAGAGAATATCTATGGTAATAAATTTTCTATCTGCCTTTCTTCAAATGCCCTCCCTGCCCCAAACCTCTTACATTTTAGTATATTTCCCAGAGGTGGTCTTCATGTTTAAAATTTAGAAAAAATCTTTTTTTGTTTTTGTTTTTGAGACAGGGTCTAGTTATATAGTTTGAGCTGGCCTCGAATTTATTGCTGTATTTCCCAAAAAATAACACCAGAAAATGAGCTTCAGCAGGATTTTTCATGCTGCTTATAATATAACCCCTACCTTAAAAATAAAACCCAGTTAAGATTGGCAGCCAAGAGTATGGATGGGTTGAGGGGTTGGAGGGAGGGCAGGGGGAAAAATAAGAACCAAGATATATCATGTACAGGTACAAATTCTCAATGATGAATGTCATTATATTATACACCTATTAATAATAAACAATGAAAAAAAGAAAGATTGCCAGCCAGATGGATGCATTCAGTATGTCTTTTGGAACACATTATATATATGTATTGGATTATAAAATAATATTAATATATAATTAAATATAATAATATTATTAACACTATTTTAAATAAATGACAGTGCAAACTATAATTAAGTATTAGTGAATACCCAAGCAGCACCTTTGGAGAAGAGGTAAACTCTTCTGTAAATAGATGAAAAGGAGACTTATTGCTAAATGACCAATCCAAGTATAGATACAATGTACACACTTGATAACAGACATTTGTGTATAACACCAATCTTCATAATGTGATATGTCATGTGTCGTGATGGACATACTTAATGCCCTTGTGTGAAATAAAGAAAAGTTTTCTGAATTTTTGTGCCTGCCATGTTTTGTCTCTTTCGTGTGGACAAACATTCTCAACTGTCATCATTTTTGTTGCCACTCCTGTCTCCTATGTCTTCAATTAACACTCGATTTAATGGAAACTTTGTGAAGCCCACCCTGCAGGAGATTGAGACTTGGGTGAAGAATTCATGGAATAAAATTGCTGACAGCTGTGTTGCTGACATACTACATGTGAGCCACATGGACAAGAGGCACTCATGTAAGTAGAGCTCTATTGTTGGGCATGAGAGATTGGGGCCAGTGGTTCCAAGGGAAATGGAGTCCCAAGCAATTCAGGCTGAAATCTGAGGTTTGGAGAGAGATGATGATGTTCCAGAAGATGACATGACCATATTTATATAAATGTAGATTTTTGTCCATTAAATACTTCATTGTATATATATCTACCATGTTTTGCTTATCCATTCATCTATTGATGAGCATATAGGCCACTTCCAAGATTTAGCTTTGGTGAATCATGCTGCTAAAAATGTAGGAATGCATGTATCATTGTAATAGGATGACTTTTAACTCTTTCATGAAGCTACACTGAACAGGAATACCTTGGTCAAATGGAATTTCTATCTTTAGTTTTTTAAGGACTCTCCATACTGATTCCTGTACTGGTTGTACTTATTTACATGACATTTTGTGTGCAGAGAATACAGAAGTGTAAGGAACATTTGCCCTTACACACTCCTCCAAGGTGGCTGTGGTAGATTCTGAAAGCCAATTACTTAGAGGAGACAAAATGGGTGTGGAGCCCTGGAGAAGAAAGCTCTTTACAAATTAATTAGCTCACTCCTGTCTGTGATCATAGGGAAAGGTCAGGAAGAAGTGGACAGTCTCTGTTGTCAGCCTGGAGTCTTCCAAATGCGGAACCATGCCTCTCTTCTCTTCCACCCCATTGTCCCTTTCAAGGCTGAGAATAGGGCTGCTCACTTCAAAGATTTGGTTGATTAACATGAGGAGATTTGTAGAAAGCTTTGGGGTACGAAAGGAGCACAAGGAGGGAAGGTCATCGGGCTAGCAAAAATGGCAGAAATTAAATAAATTTTAATAGAGATTAATGCAAAACCTATGTTTAAAAGAATCAATTGCACAAAACAGGATAGAAGAGAGAGGGCTCAACAGAAGTTCTCACAAAAAGACTCAGAGGTTTCCCTTGGCTACAGGCTAGCGACGAGTCAATAGTATGTGTGGCAGCCAAAAAGCTAATGCAGATTCAAACTGCATTGAGATAACGCAGTGCACAGCACGCAGGAGGAGAGCTCACCACCGCTGACCCAGACAGGACATATTTAGAATGGAAGGGCTCAGCCCTGGATACCACGTGTTAAAAGGGCCATTAACAAATTAGAGCTCCGAAAAGGCAGCGGCCAAGATGGTGACCACCGAGAGAGTGTGTAAGGAGGAGCTGGACGGAGCAAAGGTGTACTGCGAAAATGTGAAACATATTCAGCTCTCTTTCAAATAACTGAATCGTCTTGCTGTGAAAGAAGCATCCGATGTGTGTGTAGCTTCAGAACTAGAAACACTGGATGGGAAGAAGTAACAGGGAGACCGATTCGGGCTGGATGTGAGGACAGGCTTACCACAACTGGACCTGTGCCATAGGGGTGGACTGTCACATTCTTGTTCGTGGAAGAAAGAGAGGGAGCCAAGAAGGAGGGAGGGAAGGAGGAAGAAAGTTGTATATGTATGAGCATATCGCGTGTTCTACACGGATCTATGTTCTCGTTTCACAGTGAGGAGAATAACAGATGTGGGCTTGCCTGTGTGCAGTTTAGAGACCAACATGAAAGGCAAAGATTAAATACATAAACACACAGATAAATTACAAATGTTGCTACGAGAGAAAAGAACTGCTATCAAAGGGAATAGGAAAAGAGGGTAGGAACAGTTTGAGTTATGAGTCTGCAGTCACATAAAGGATTTGAACTGTGGCAGAAGGGTAAGGAATTATCTGAACATAGTAGAGGGTACCCCGTGCTTTGGGACAGAACTGGGAACAGCCCTGTGGCTCTCTCTCAGGGGGCAGTGTGTCAGTCACCAGGAGAGAGATTTTCAGCAGTCCTTGATCCACCTCAAGATATTCTGAATCAGAATATTTGACACCAGAGACTCTGAAACCCTATGATAACGGGTTAAAGGAAAGAGCTAGGTGAAAATGCACATTCTTTGATTCCAGTATCTAGGTCTCACTTATGATTTTAATCTCTTTGCTTGCATTCTGGAATTAAATATCCCTAACTCAAAGCTTGAATACGTTGGTCTCTTTAGAACCTGGTTTACAGAACAATGAAGAAATTCCTAGCCAGATATGTACCTGACCTGAATTTTTGCAAGAGATGGATACCACTCCCCTTGCCAAACACTTTAGAAAAAGTGTAGCTGGTGCCCGAGGTCCCTCTAGTGGTTAGAACTTGTAACTTCGGCTCCCCCTTCCACACTCAAGTCTGGGCAGTGAAATTGCTGTGGGGGGCTCTAGCAGAGATGAAGAGGCCCCGTGAAAAGAAAGCAGATGCATCTAATTATGTGTCTTAGAAAGTTCTTCTCTAGAATTAATGTTAAAAGGAGAGGTGGCAGATCTCAGGAATTGTTTTCCAATTCTCCGTTCCTCTTTTTGCTATACCTGGGATGATCTAAATGTAAAGGGGGTTGAGGGACACATAACTAACAAATCAGATAGACCACTCTCCAAGATACCAGGCCACTAAACAGGGAGTCATTTTTCATTCTCTGGGACAAGCACAACATCTCAGTCTTGGGTGATTGGATAGAGGACTGGGTTGAATTGTAAGACCTGAGTTACTCCTTCTGTGCTGTCACTTACTGCTTTCTGAGTTTTAGTTTTCTCCCCTGAGAAACACCAGGCAGTGACACTTGCTCTGCCTAACTCACATGTCTGATGTAAAAGCGAAATGGATTGAACAAACAGATGTGAAGGCCGTAAAATGTGTTGCACCTGAGAAAAAATACTCTGCAATCAGTAGTAAAGAAGAACCTGCCCTGCAGGCAGTTGGGGAAAGGCCTATTCCCTTTTTGGGCCTTTCCACTGAAATGTAAGCTTTTCCAAAGGTAGAAAGACACAGGAGGGAGACTATTGGGAATTACCCCGTACTTCTTCCTTGGGTCTTTACTTAGCTTGGGACCAAAGAGCTACAGAATGGATCTGAAACAGCATTTAACAGGAAGCTCTGAGGGGCCATTCTTTACAAGAGAAGCCAGTGTGGAGATGTATGTTGGTGGCGGTGAGGGGTTCCAGGTGGTAACGGGGGCTGTTGGTGGGCACTTTACTGGTGGGCT